GACTTTGAAGTTTGGGGATCCCAAGATTTTGGGTTGTGGCACTTTGGGGCTGTGGAACTCCAGATTTGAGGTTGTGGAACCCCAGGGTTTGGATTTCTGATTGCCCAGACCTGGATTTGTGAACCCCCAAGTTCGGGGTCGGTAGAACCCCAGATTTGGGGTCATGGAACACCAAGCTTGGGGGTTTTGGGCCCCCAGATTTGGGGTCGTGGACCTCGAGGCTTGGATTTGTGAACCCTCAGGTTTGGGTTTATGATTCCCTAGATTTGGGGTCGTAGACTCCCGAGTTTGGGGTTGTTGACTCTCAGGTTTGGGTTGGTGGAACCCCAAATTTGGGGCTGTGAACCCCAAGGTCTGGATTTGTGAACCCTCAGGTTTGGGTTTGTGGATCCCTGGGACTGGATTTATGAATTCCTCACATTTGGATTCGTGGAGCCCAGATTTGGGGTTTGAGGACCCCCAGGTTTGGGGTTGGGTTTGTGGAGGGAACAGCTTCATCCCAAAATTCCTTTCCTTGGGCTTTGGGTTTGTTCTGCTGTGGCTGAGCTGGTTCTTCATTCCCAGTGGCACCAGGAGAAGCCCGGGTGGGTTTGTTGTGCTCTGTGCATCGTGGAATTCCGTGTTTTGCCAAGAAATGATCCTATAAAAAACCCCCCAGCCGTGCTGTGGGGTGAAGACTGAAGGTCAGAGCCAGCCCCGTGAAATTCCCCATGAACTTCTCGTCCTCTTCCAGCCTCCTCCATCTTTTGGTGTGTCGGGATTTTGTTCCTTCTCTCTTGGGAACTTGATCCTTCAGGACAGTCATTGGATTTAGGAATATTTGATGAAGAAACCAAGAGTTTCTAGTGGTGTCTCCCCTGAGTAATTTCAGCAAATTTCAATAGGCACCTTCAAAAAAAGCTTCCGTAATTCCCGGGTTTGCTACAAGAACTGGATCCCTCGGAGGGAACCAAAATGCTGCTTGGAAAAACAAACAAAACGAACAAAAAAAAAAAAAAAAAAAAAAACAACCCAAAAACGCTCGTCCCGCTCCTTTGTCTGTCCCCCAGAATTCCAGAGCTGCTCTTGAGATGTTCCCCTGGAGAGAACCAGCGGTGGATTCCACTCCTGCTCGGAATTCAAGCATCCAGGAGGGAATCCCAGCTCTCCAGAAGGGTGTCCCGACCCCAAGGAGATGGCCCAGACCTCGAGGGGAGCGTGCTGGAACCCGGGAAGGGAATCCCAAAACCTGGGAAAGGGAATCCCAAAACCCGGGAAAGGGAATCCCAAAACCCGGGAAAGGAATCCCAAAACCCGGGAGGGGAATCCCAAAACCCGGGAAAGGAATCCCAAAACCCGGGAAGGGAATTCCAGAGCCTGGAAAGGGAATCCCAAAACCCGGGAAGGGAATCCCACACCTCAAGGAGGACGGCCCAGTCTGGAGGAGGAGATCCCAGCTCCAAGGAGGGGATCCAAGATTTTGGGAAGGTCATCCCAGTCTTCAGGGAGGGTATCCCAACCTCTGAGGAGGGAATCCCAGCCTTTCAAGATGGCACCCTACCCCAAGGAGGATTTCCCAGACCCCAAGGAGGGAATCCCAACCTCAAGGAGATCATTCCAGACCTCGAGGAGAGCATCCCAACCCCGAGCAGGGCTTTCCACACCCCGAGGAGAGACAGGCTGACCTCAAGGAGAACATCTGAGATCCAAGGAGAACATTCCAGACCTCAGGGAGAACGTGTGAGATCCAAGGAGAACATTCCAGACCTCGTGGAGAGAATCCCAGCTCCAAGGAGAACATTCCAGACCCCGAGGAGACCAAGGGAGGTGCTGGGAGGCAGGATCCCGATATTCCTGCTCCTTGGAGTCGCCTTTTCCCGTCTCCCACGAGGCATTCCCAGAGTTTTGGGTCTGGTTTTGGCCAGGCACGAGGAGAAGCCCAGCGAGCTCCCCCCCCTTTCCCTGTCCCCTCTTGCTTTGGCAATGGTCACAGGCTACATGCTCCCGGGAAAAAACAAAAAACAAAAAAATATATATATATATATCATAAAAATTGGAGAGGGGAAAAAAAAAAAAAATGGCCACCAAAAGTGCTGGGAAAGCGACCAAAGGGGATGAGCCTGGCAGATGTTCCCGGTCCATCCAGAGTTCTCTTGGATATTGCAGTGAGTGTGTTGTTAGCACGTGGCAAAGCTACATAAGAGAAGATGCTACATTCCTTGGAAAACAAACAAACAAAAAAAATATATAGTGCTGAGTTGGATTTGTTCTGAGTTCAGCAGGGATTTTTTTTCCCCCCCTTTTCCTCGCAGGCAGGGGAAAAGGGAATGGGAGGAAAAGGGAACCTCGTCCTCAGCCAGAGCGAGCTGCTCCCAGCAGGGTGGGGAGAGCAGCTGGGAGCTCCCAGGACGAGGTCTGGGAACAGTCTGGGATCGTTGGCAGTCGCAGCCCTCGGAGGGAATTCCTCTCCTTCCCCCCAGCCCTCTCCCTTCCTGAGGAGGGCAGATTTTTTTTTTTTTTTTTTTTTTGGGCGGGGGGATTAGGAGATTGAAAATTAAAAAAAAAAAAAAAAA